TGTTTGGTAAAATTCAGCTGGAAGTCACTTGACGTTTGTGGGGGGAAGAAGAGTTTTGAAGGCTCTTTCCTATGTCCCCACCAGGATGCGTAAGATGCGGTGTGTCGTGGAGCAGGATCCAGGAGATCAGCGCAGTCGTAGATCTGTCAGCACTTCTATTGTAGTGGTCTTTGCAGGGTGTCTAACGCTTCTGTTTTAATTTTGCTGAGGGCTGTAACTCTGGCAAAATTTAAACTCCTTTCAACTCCTAGTTGTGAGGTTTTAAATCCTCCAAATTTGTACTTCACAAAAAAAAAAGAAAATATTTCCTGTCTAGCAAGTGTATGGAGATCGTTCCAGCTCTGTAGCTAAGATTTAACAGCACAGACAATGATCTAATTAACTTCCTTTTTGAAAACTCTTGCTCCAAGTCTACTTCCTAAGAGTAAATCCCTAGCACAGCCCCATTAACCATGGATGCTCTTGCTTGCCCGCTCGGGTATTTCCAAAGTCACTTCCCAAGGGGCCAGGTCACGCTTTTGCATGTGTGATAGAGGCTGAATCAGTCTTTCCTTAGGGTGAATCATTTCAGATGTTGGTGTCTCACCTGACAATCCTACAAGTGGCCAACCTGGGAGCTCCTGCCTGCAGCTTGTCTCCACCGATGGCCACACATGGCCCTGCTGAGAGAATCTGTGGCAACCAAATTCAGCTGTGGTTTTCTTGCAGATGGTGGAGGAGGGGATCCTTTGCACTGCAGTATTGAGAAACAAGTGAGGATGCTAAATGCCCTTCACATTTTAACAAGAGGCTGGGGTAGGGAGAAGATGACTTTTTTTTTGGTGCTTAGGATCAAGCTAACCCTGGTTTGTTTTTCACCTGCTCCCTTTCTGTGGTGTGCTGCAAGATCCACAGTCGCTGCTCTTCAGAACTGCAGCCTGCACATTCCCCCCCCCCCTCCTCCTCTCTGGAGAGCAGCCAGATCAAAATGGCTGTGATCCAACGCCAAGAATCACTCCCTTTGCTATGGAAATGAGGACTTGGAGGCTGCTCACCATGTGTTCATCAGAGAGTTCCTGCTAAGGATGATGAGCTGTAGGTGGGGAAGAGGGCAGCGAAGGTGTGCTTGATCAAATCTGTTTGGAACAAATAAGGATATTTTTGGATACATCTGACTCTTTGCATTTTTTAAAAGTCATTTATAGAAAACCAAAAAAATTACCCTTTCCATCAAATGGTAAGAATGAGGGAAATAAAGTAGTAGGATTTCACCATAGGATAAAGGGTGTTTCTCTTCCATTAGAGTGGAAGGGGTGGCAGACCTCCCAGTATCTGATATTTGAGATAAGCATTTTTTTGTGTGTGTGTGTGGTGTTCTGGTATTGATCAAGAGAAAGAAAGATATGATTATCCAAGCTATACAAATAATCCTTCTTCTTAACTATCATATCCACATTCCTAGCATTAAAGTGGACAAATTGCAAAACCCCTGGGTATAGGATACATTGACACCGGGCAATTTGCTGCGGGTTAACTCAGCAAGGCATGTTTAAGCCTTTGCTTTACTTTCTTCTAAACCATCAGATTTTAATCTTGATGCACAGTGGGATGGGAACATTGCCAGTGGGTGAACAGTCACGAAAATTGACTGTGCATAAAGCAGGGGACTTTTCCCTTCTCGTAGATGAGTTATGCACCCCAGGCAGATGACTGAGTAGGGTTTTGCTGCAAGGTGTGCTTTCAAGAGGGAAAGGGCCAAGCCGTTTGCAAGCTTCCTGCGGTGTTGCAGCACGCTGGGTTTTGCAAGAACATCCCTGCTTCTTCAGGGTGGCCTGGTGTCACCTCTTCTGCCAGTGAGGGATGGAGGTGGCTGGGAGGAAGGGGGTGATGCTGCTCCTGCATGCTGCCGGCTACAGGAATTGGAGCTGTGGATGCAAAAGTCTGGGCAGCGGAGCCCTGCCTGCCGTGCAGTGCCCAAACAGCTTACGGCTGGGAGGAGCCCTCTCGGGATGAAAATGTCTGACAGGTCTCTGAATGAGTCTACACAATAAATTAGTAACTGGGTGTGGAACTGCATTTTTTTATGGTGTATCTTAATTGGGCCTCAGGCAGCTTGATAGTACGGCGTGTTTCTTGTCTTTCGGGGATCTTTGAGTCGAAATTCACATTTTCTTTGTGCGTGATTCAGTGGGGCTGGGGCTCGGCTGGGAACATGCTCTGAATCCACCCAGGGACTGGGGCTGGTGCCCCTGGATGGAGCTGTGCCCTGCCTCATCCACCCGCCCACCCACCCTCCCCGCTGGGGACGGCCACGCGCGGATCCCTGGCGAGCCCACCAAGCCGCCTGCGCTGGCAGCACTCCACCTCGAGGCACGCCGTACCATCTGCTTCGGCAGAGTTTCTCCCATCCATTTTGGATAACTTAATCTCCTCCTTTGCCTGAAAACAAAACAAAAACCTGCATTGCATTGCGAGCGGAGCGGTTGCATTTTTCCCCCCCCCCCAAAAATGGGTGCACTTCACTGCCAGGTGACTAATTATCTGTCTCCTGTGCATAATGGTTTGCTCCTAATATTTCACAGTCCAATTGCATGAAGGGTACTGTCTGCCCTACTCCATCCAGGTGTAGAGCTGAACGTGAACTCTGAGGGTGTTGCTGTGCATTATGAGCGTAAAAAGAAACCCGTGTCTGGATTTTGCACTCTTACCTGGAGTACGTACTTACTTGGCTGGAGCTGGAGAGCAGCTCCCGGTTTATGACTTCCCATTACGCTGCGGTGTCACCGGGCGTGTCCAGCGTGGAACAGGCCTTTTATTTGTGCTGTGAGTGAAATAGTTGGCAGAAACTGTATTATGCAATTCTATTAACATGGTAAGTACAGAGGAAGCCTAAGTTCATCTATAATATGATAGTAATCGTTACTAATTTATATATAGCTTTTTTCACGTGGACCTCTTAAGCACCCCAGGCATTCACAAAATCTTGCATTTAAAAACTGTTTTTTCTTCAGCTGTGTGAGTTCTTAATAAAATGGTGTCTGTGGCACTTCTGTAGCTTTGAAATGACAAGAGTTAATTGGGGAGATTTAACAGGACATCAGTATGGAAATGGTACCATGAGAACTGCTGCAGGGAAAACCCACATACTCGCAACGGCTGGAAATAAATGCAGAGCCCTTCATGCCTGTGTCACCAGCTCGCAGACTTCGGGTCGTCGGTGGCTGAAAGCCATTGCCATCTGCTTGTCCCGTATGAAAGCTGTCGGTGGCCTCCACCCCACACCTGGGGACAGATACCCCATAACTGGTGCATTTATTAGCTGTGTCTGCAGAGAAGCTGGCTCTTCCCTGAATAGGTAACTTGCTGACTGTGCCCCTTGGTTTGGGCTTTGCTCTTACCATCACACCGGTGACACTGATGGCACTTGCGCCTCGGCAGCGGGTCTGTGTCAGCAGCAGCTGCCCAGGCTGGAGATGGAGCTGCTGTGGAGATGGCCAGTGCCAATTCCTAAATGCTTCAGCTGGACATGGCTGGGGGGAGCTGGTGGAAGACAAATACTCTGATTTTTTTTTTTCTTATCTATGCGGAAACTGGAGTGTTTCACTTGATAGCTGTCTGTTAGGTTAATTGTAACATTTTTCTACTCTTCAGACATATTATGTGACTGCTTATTTGCCATCTCTGATGAGTGCTTTCCTCTAGTTGCTCAGCTTTTTGTTGCTGTTCATTATTTTTTTTTTTAAACCTCCAAGACTACAAAACACCCATCATTCTGAAGTCTCTTTTTCGCTACGGTTTCATGCAAAGCCTTTGCAGTTAGAGACAGACGTACAACCTTTTATCACTTTTGCTGCAGACAGGCTGTGTAGAGGGAGTTGTGCTCAAGCCATGTTTGGAGTCTCTCACTTGAGAGCTTCAGGCTGGTGGGTCTGGAGAAAGAAGCTCTGTGAAGCTGAGCAGTTTTTCCCAGCCTCTGCATGTGCTTGGGGACCTACTGGGAGGCGAGATAGGAGGTGGACTCTGCTTATTTTTATTTTTTTAAATATTTTTTTTTGCTTTCCCTCGGGACTGGGGCAGAAATACTTTTCTCATATGTAAAAGCAAGATGCTGTATGGAGGCTTCTTGTTCTCCTGCAAGCACTGATTGAGGGAGAAAATCTTGTATGGTGGGAAAAGTCCTTCCCAGATGCAAGGGCTCCGTAAGGTTGCATGTGTGGAGGGCAGGACAGTCGCTGTCTTCCAGGGTTGGTGTTCGTATGTGGTGTTGTGCCTGTGTCTTCTTCCAGGGCTCGAGTGCTGGAATTTTCCACCCCAGTCTCTTTCCCTCTATTCTAACTCAAGCCTTCTTGAAAATTATTTTTCTCAAGAGAAGAAGTGCTACAGACACACTAAGTTAATTTGAGTCATTAGCTTGTTTCCATTACTCCTTTCTGCCTAGGAAACTAATTTTATTATTTTTTAGTGAGATTTTGGAGTTAGAAGAAAGAAATGGAAGCTAGTGAACATGTGGAACCATTTCACAGGAACACCAGATTTTGAGAGCTTGCATTTTTATTTACATCTTCTAGACCCTGTCTGACTTGAAAGTAAACAAGTTCAACCCAAGACCAGATTTATCCCTGAAAATATGTGGAGACTTGTCTAAAAACTGCTTTTAGGATTAGGAACTTCCTTTACTGCAATAAGAGAATACGTTTACAATGGGAAAACTGATGTTTAACTGGCAAATTCTTTCTGTAAAACACCCTTGGAAGTGCAGTTCAGTTGTGTTTGGTGCAAGACAGCCTGAAACTTTACTAAAAAACAAAACAAAAGGCAAAACTGGCTGAGAACTTAGCAGGTCTAAAGCAAGGTGCAGGAACAGTGAGTGAAACTGTATTTCTGTGTTGCTGGAAGCTGGGTGATGGTGCAGGCGAGAGGGTCCCATCCTGTGGAGGTCCTTGGCAGGCATCTTCTGGGCAAGCAGGAGGTCCCTGCATCTGTAACTGATCTCCTTCTTTTGACGTTCCTCTTCTCTGCAGACACAATGAGGCGAGTGGTACGACAGAGCAAATTTCGGCACGTGTTTGGCCAAGCGGTGAAAAACGATCAGTGTTACGACGACATCCGCGTTTCCCGTGTTACTTGGGATAGCTCCTTTTGTGCAGTAAACCCCCGATTTGTTGCAATAATTGTAGATGCTAGCGGTGGCGGAGCGTTCTTGGTGCTGCCTTTGCATAAGGTAAGTGCTTTTTGAAAGTTTCTCGCTATGACATGCTCAGCTTTGTTGTCATTTCGGCATTTGTTTATGAATAACATTAAGGCTGTGAGGTCTCTGCTGTGTTGTGACAAATGCTGCTCAGTAGTGCCATGTAAGAATCCATTTAATGTCTCTGTAATCAGTGTAATGCTTCCTGTACATGAAACACAGTAAATAAGTGGTTTGCTTGACTAATCTGAGCCAATTTTTTATGGCAGAAGTTTTTACGTAGACTCATACCCCTCATGAATCATACTCCTAATACTCTTTATTTATGATAGCAGTGGTCAGGTTTTTCTGCTGTTGGGGATTTGGCTTTCTGAGCTCTTCGAGTGTCACTTAATTCAGGAATGCACCTGAACCTAACTACTTCTTGCAGCCCTGTATCAGATGGATGCGAAGGAGTGAGCTGGTTCCAAGAAAGGCATTTCCATGGGCGTCCTGGCCCTGGCATCTCAGCTGGTCTAGACTGCTGCCAGCCCCTTCAGTTACTCTTTCTCTGTATGGTATAAGACAAGAATAATCTCAGTAAAAAAACAGCTCATCCAGGTACCACCACAGGTGTCCCACAGTTCTCCCAGATCACAAGGCTGTGTCTAGGCTTTATTATACTTCAGCCAGATCTTGTTATCCCCTAGTACCTGACATACCGAGGAGAGGGGCTTCATCTGATCATGGGCAGGGAAACACCCCTTACATTATCTACTGTGCAAAATGCTGCTAAGTCTCCAATAAATAATCTTTCAGTGAGCCCATATATACAGTCTACTTCTTTCCCTTACGCTTTGAATTTATTTGTAGAACCCCAGGGGTGTGTTTTGCAAAATACACAGAAAAGTTAGGTTCCTGTCCGTCAGCCATGAGAATGGACGGATCAAAGGTTTGGAAGGAGGCTGAAAAGATGGGTACAGAGAAGCCTTCCTGGCAGTACCTCTTAGAATGCTGTGGTATAAAAGCACACAAATGAGCAGGAGCAGTGTCTTAGACTGAAATAAATTCCTGTTGCCCCCTGATACAGCATGGAAAAAATTGCAGAGCATCTTTCTTTTACCCTTGTTGGAGGGCAGTGCTCTCATCTCCCTTTCTGATGCTTGACCAGCAAATTCTTGTGATGAAAGTCTTTTTCTGTAACATTATTTTCTTTGTGACCCTCAAGCTTCTCTTAACTATACACTTAAGATGTCCTCAGTCTGTCATCAGCCCTGTCCTTTTTTTCCTAGCTCCATTTGCAGATCTGCCCTGTTTATATATAGAAATAGTGACCAGAATTGAATATAGCATCCCACATGGCGAGTGCATTGCAGGAACAGAGGCAGCGAGTTCTCACTTAAGCCACAGTTGTGCTAAGTGAAGCAAGCCAAACCCTTAGCCTCCTTTAAATAGCTCTCCATTTTGCTATCTTATTAACAGCCCTTCTTTACAAATATTCTGGTTTGCGGTCATCTTAGGGCCACATGTCCTGCTCTTGCCCAAGCCACGCACGATGGCACAGATCTCGATTAGAAATTCCTTGCTCAACACAGCACGCAGTTGCACTCGTGTTGCATCATGGCACAATCAAATGCCGATGGCAGAGGATGCGCACCCCTCTTTTTCTCTTACTTCCCAGTGTTTTCTCAGTCCCTGGCAGAAATTCTTGCTAATTCTGAGTGATCTGGCCTTTTGAATTTTTAAGTGCCATCTTATGTTTGGGTTTTTTTACGTTTATTCAGTTATTCCTCCTGCCCGCCTCTGTATTTGTCATTGCATTTGTGCCCTCAATGATGTTCCTGTCCTGTTTTATACAACTATTTAATATTCACATATGAAAAGGTTTCATGCGAAGCTTGAAGAACTCTGTTCCTGAACCCCCCAGCCTGACACGTTCTTTTGCAATGCAACACGTTGCTGGCTTTGCTCTAACCAGTTCCTATGTTCCTCATTTATTTTTATAGCCTCGGCTGATGAAATTGTTCCTTCAGTTCCTTCAACACCCTAAAATTTTGATTTCTGTTTGAGCCCATTTAGCAGAGGTATTCATTGAGTTCCCACAGCAAAATCCTTGCTGTTATGTTCAGGGGGGGGAAAAAAATAAAAAGGGGGTCAATTTTAAACCATGGGTTTGGTATGATTTTAAAATTAAGCCATAAAAATACACTTGCTGCATTTCAGAGCCTTCAGGAGGCTGCCAGAGTCTGCAGGGAAAATGGCCCTCCTAGAACTTAATTGCATCGTGTCCGCTCGAATCCAGCACTGTGCGGGTCACTGTGAATTACTTCGAATGTGGCTTGACCTTCCGTGAGCGGTGAGCCGAGCCTGCGCTTCAAAGGGCCCGTGTAATCCCAGAAAAGCAGTTTTTACTCATTTTAAATGTCTTTTTCCTTGCCAAGTTTCAGTAATATTGTGTTTTTGTTGTTGTGGCGGCGGGTTTTTGCTGCCAGGCGGGCGGCTCCCGGCTCCCTCCCCGGCCGTGGGCAGCAGCTGGGGGTCGGGAGGTCGGGGCGGGGTCTGTGTGTGGTTTTTGGGGGGCGGGATGAGCTCCCCGGGACCCCGCACCGAGCACCCATGTGCTGGGGAGGAGAAC